TAGAAGATGACAATAACAATAAATAAGAAGAATACAACAATAAATAAGAATACACAAGATGAGACACAATTATAATATACAGTTACAACAATACAGCAATTACAATAGAGGAGACCGTGGATGGTGGTACTAAGAAGAGCAGAGGGGTGAAGAATGGAACCAGTTAAGTAAAGGCTTTTCTGAAGAAGAGGGTTCTGAGTCTGGATTTGAGGGAGTTTAGAGAAGGTGACTCTCTGATATCCTTGGGCAAAGAGTTCCAAAGCGTGGGGGCATAATAGGAGAAGGCCCTGTCACCCATACAAAGAAATTTACAGGTCAGGAGTACATCAAGCTGGTAGCGAGGTTTTTACTACTCGTCTGCGCTAAGCCCTACTCCTGAGCCCCCCACCTCATCACCTGGTTACATCTGCAAGAGAACCTAAAACTGACCTCTGTGGTACTCCACTAGTGACATCACCCCAGTCTGAGTGTTCGCCCCCTGCACTCCCTCTTTCCTCTTGACCTCAAATGCCACCTACCTGCAAGTGGAGAATTCATCTTGTAAAAGCTTTTTGAATGAATAACATAAAGTATGCTGTATTTGCGTACATTACTGCTGTTGCTCGTTCACAGACTAAGTTAGAGAACATCTTCTGAATCCAGGTTGCTTACGCCCTGGAATCTTATTGTCATACAGAGAATGATGTGGCGCTCATTATCATTTCTTAGCATCGAATCTGCAAGGTGCAGCGCGCGTCTTAGCCGGAGGCCTGAAGCAGCAGCTCACAGCTCACAGGGCCGTTGGCTCTGTAGTTCTCAGGAGTGAATTTATGAGCTTGTTACTATGCCACGCTACAGTCTGCTGCTATGTTAGCTACCTTGTCAGAAGGTGATAATGAGCCAAGTGTAGGGGGCTTGATAACAGTCATTACCACAGGATTAACCTGATTAGCACACCCAAATTCCCACTGATATGATTATTATTATAAACCTAATTAATGGTGAGCAGAAAGATGGGATGGGAGGGTAGATAGTCTTGTAGAGAAATTTCAAAAGAAGGGGTAGGCACATTTATTGTTTCTCTCTTTTTTAAAAAAAGACTGCATGTTCATATACTTTTAGCCAATTATGTTGTAAGCCACCTTCACTGGTGTCAGCCTGGTCACTCGTGGTCTGTTCTCATCCCCTAGACCTGCAAGCCATAAAAAGAGTGGTTTTCTGTCGCTGCAGTTTCTAGATTAAGATAAGGATCCAAACTTTAGACTGTTTCGTAGAAGTGATATTCACTAGATTGCCAGTGATATTAAATGTAAAAAAATAGCATTTAGAATTTCCTTTAGAATATTCTGTACTCTTTTGGGCACCATGTTGTGGCAAAGATGTTGCTTCTTCTGTTCAGTTCAGAGAAGAGCAACCAATTTCATTCTGGGCCTTACGGAATGTCCTACGGTGACGGCTGATGAAACTGAATCCTCTTAGTCTTGAACAGAGAAGACTGCAAGGCACCTGATCCAGGTACTCAAAAACCGTGGGCCGAACGAACCCCCCCATTCGTAACCTTTCTTCTATTTTAAGAAAAAAAGAAACAACATTGTAATAATTACACAGTGATTATAAAAACACAACAAGTAGGTTTTTTTTGGTTTTATTGAGCCGTTTTAATGAAGTGTACTTGATTTTGAGAGGTTTGTGTTCGCTGGGGAATGGCACACCTGGTGATGAACACTGTGATGCCGGGCACTGGCAGCCTTGAAACTGAACAGATTTTGAAGCAGCCTGTTGTCTTTCTTGAAGCTATTTGGAATTACAGTATGTGTTCCATTCAGTAGGTATGGCTTACTTGCTTTTGTGTTTTGTTTTCTTTTATTCATTGTCAGAAAACTGTTTATCCCTGGCAAGGGCTTTGGTATTCTGGTAAACACCATGGGCCCAAAGGCTCTAAGGGGTGTCATCTAAGTGATGACTGTCTAGGGGGTTCCCTAAAATCAGAAAGAGACTTTTCACCCCTTTTCTAGAGGCATACTGTATATACTTTGAACTCTTACATAGTGACTCTTGGTGCTCTGTTGACACATAGTTCTGATTTTAAGGTTTTTTAAGGGGTCCTAATTTGGAATAATTTGTGTTGGAAAATAGTCCCCCAGTCTCAGTCTCTTGCTTCCTTGGCTGGTGGTCTTCCTTGTCCAGAGTGGGACAAGAGATGCTGCACTGAGTCTCACTTCCCATTAAAACACCCCACACTCAACCCTGCCATGGTGTAGTGAGTGCTCAGCATCACAGGGGAAGGGTGGCACATTGAGGAACCTGCAGCCAGTCCCACAGGGTGCTGGTCAAGGACAGAAGAGACGCTGTCGACTCCTCCTTGTCTTTTGAGCTCTGGCCTGCGAACAGGCTTTTATTTATTCTGTTTTGTATTACTCTTGCTGAGACTTTGATTAATGAACCATCCAGTTAACGAAGCTGAGAGCACAGCAATTAAGGAGGCTGAGTGGGAGAGATACTGTATTTGAGATATTTTTCTTAAGGAACACATGTATTCCAGGTGGCACACTAACAAGGTTACCTTTGTTTTGCCTTTGCTTGTTTTTTTCCCCACAGGGCTCTTTATCACCAAGTCACCAGGACTGATGTTGCTTGTTGTTAGTTTCACGTTAAACTAGAAGGGTCAATGCCAAACACGGGGCTAAGGGTTCCAGCACCTTTAATGATGATGGATGTTTGCATATTTGCTGATGTCTTGCAAGGGAAAGTGTCAGTACTGTACGTTTTCATAACTTTTTGCCCAAGATCAGAGCCCATTATGTACGTGCACAGAATCTTTCAAGAAAGAGGCTCCAGAGTCCTGTACTTCAGGGGAATCTGGAGAGAACATGATGGTACGGGATATGGGACAGTGCAGTAGAAATACAACTCATGTGTGAATAAAACCCAAAAAGTTGCTTATCATAGAGAGAGCCACATTCAGGTGTGTTAAGCCAGTTTCAGGATTCTAGTCTTCTCTGCAGTGAAAAAGCCTTCCAGCAATTCCTCATTCTCCCACGTGTGCTGTCACACGGTTTGTAGCTGTGACTCAAGAAATCAAAAACCCACAATCAGCTCTTCCAAATTAGGCAGCTATATCAATAATTGGCATTTCTGAGTTTGTATAAAATATCTTAATAAATTTAACTTGAGTAGTTTTATGTTAAACATTTCCATTAAATGGAATGCATCTAGTATGTGTTTGTACTGCAAAATGTACAATGAATTCCCAGGTTTGCAGTGGAATTGATGGTACCATTCTTTTTGTAAGCCACAAGTCACAGACAAACACACGCTGCTGTGATGCTGGATTAAAGCACAGATAAGGGTTTAGTGTGTATTGTTTTCAGAAAAATGTAAACTTAAATTCATAAGCTAGAAGCCATATGAACTGTTTTTGACACGACACAAACAAGATCTTTACTCGTGCAATGGGTTTGCATGCAGCTTTGCCCACTGCTGGTTTGAGATCAGAATTATCGATGGTTGAATTGCAAAGCTGCCATCCGGCTGTTCTTCTATTGCATCGGGGAATCCACAACACAAGGGGGGTTCCTTCGGGAAAGGGCCAGGTTACTTCAGGGGAGTGTGGAGAGAAGATGACAATAGCTCTGGGATGGTACAGTAAAAAACTGTCCCATCAGCAAATTAAACTTAAAATTCGCTAACCAGAGCCATGTTCGGGAGTATAACGACGGGTTAAGGATTCCGGGTTTCTCTGCTCTGAATGAGCATGGCGTACAGGCGTTTGAGATTGTGTTGTGCTGCTGACGCAGGATGTGGCGGCTCTGCTGGGATTCCTGTGCGCAGCCCAGCAGCATGCTGTGATTAATGAAGCTGATTCCGCTGCTGCTCGGCGTGTACAAACAGCGGAGAAGAGCGGGCCAGTCTGGGCGCCTTTCTTCTTCTCTGCGAGCTTCCTGTGTGTCCTCAGACGGTCAGCTGACTTGGAAACAGTGCGGATTCTGCTGGTCTTCTTTTAAGCACTAAGCTTTGGTTTCTTTTATTGCTTTATACCTTTTCTCTTTATCTCGTTCTTTTCCCCTATTTTGTTTCTGACTTTCGGATCTTTCTGTACTTTTCTAAGGGCCTCCGAGTTCTGCTTGGCTCCTGTCTTTAAAACGATCAGAAATGTGGTCAGATGCGGCTCTTTGCCTCATCTCGTCAGCACCGTGAAGAATGAGCTGAGGTCTTTGAAAAGGCCCACAAGTGTCACTGAACTGAGGGTGTCAGAGATTCTGCCAAGAGATCACAAGGTTGAAAAACCTCTACAGCTCGAAGCTGTCCAGGGTGTTCTGTCTGATGCCTAAAAATATGGATACAAGCTGTGCTTTTGTTCCCTTTTTTTGTGATGCATTCGATGACTGTTGTTGACACATTGCAAGGGCCTACGGAATAAATAATTTCAGTGTTCTTCTAACATTATTTTCAAGGTAACCTGGTGACATTGACAAAGGTGGAGCATGCTGGGACATTGCAGCTTGTTCTCCAGAGATGGTGTGTAAGCAGCTGTGCAGTGTACAAGGAGAAACAGATCATGATACCAGCTGACTTAATATGCTAAACTAAAACTAACTTAAATGACTATTCATGTTTCAAACTGTTTTGAGGTGAAAGGATAGCAGCTCAAAAGCATAAAAAACAGCAACTGGTGACACAGTCACAGCCAGTTTCATGGAAAAAGAAACAGAAATAAAACTGTAACAACTGCGAGTTATTACATTAAATAACATGCTGTACTGTATGTAATTGCACAATGTAACACACAATTTCAGATCAATTGTTTATACTGTTTTCCAGTGAACTGCAGCCAATTTTGAGTGGACCTACTGTACAGTACGTTGTCTACTGCTGGATTTGTGTCTTTGTACGGTTCATTTTGGAAGTTAGGGTGAAATTCAGGAGCAAAAACGTCTATTCCCACTAATGTTAGAGGTTTCAGTGTACTTATTAAATTTCTCCTGCCTCTGAATGATCGTGTTCTTTCTGTCCTCTTGCAGGTGGAGCGAGAGATAGCCATCCTGAAGCTCATAGAACACCCTCACGTTTTAAAGTTGCATGATGTCTACGAAAACAAAAAATATTTGTGAGTATTTTCACTGCTGTTGGGGACTTCCCCTGATGTTTATTCCTGCTCTCCAACTCAAATTTTAATGCGACCCTTTACTATAAATTGGGGTTCGCTAGGTATATTCTAATACTTTCCTGAGAGACAACAGGATTTTTTTTTTATTGAACTGAATATTGAACATTTCCCTTTACTTAAACGGAGATCTGTTTAAACGGCACAACTCCAGACTAGAGGAAAAAAAACCCTCTCTGACAGAAAGCATCACAGGATCTTAAATGACCCAGATCCAGATCTAAATTAAGGTAGATAAGATAAGATCACTTTATGGCCATATACAATTTCTTGCATTAGGAATTTGTCTTTTTGCATACCCCAGCTTGCTCTCCATGAGACACACAGGCACACACCGGCCACGGGATTTGAACCGGCAACCTTCCAGCCACAGGCGCATATCCTTAGCCACAGTGCCACCACTCCGCCCCCAGAACTGAATATTGGATATGTAGGATACTGGCACCACCTACAGGTCCAACCATGCTACTGATTGCAGCGACCTGATTTCCCCTGAAGGTCTCCTGTCCAATACTGACCGGGCCCAGCCTTGCTTAGCTTCTGCGGTCTGATAAGATCAGGCACCGCAGTGTTTCCACTATTTTCCTTTGGGCTTGGCTTAGGGGAATGTCTGATTTCGGTGGTTTGCAGCTGGAATACATGAATACAAACCTAGTACAAACAAAGCATTAATAACTGCTCAAAGCAGATCTTCAGTCATGCTTAATTGGAAACTGTTAATGTAATGTGGAACGCTTATGTGTGTAACCATATTGTGAATAATCCTTCATGCCAGTGTTAATGCTGTTGTGGCTTTCAGTTTTATTTTCAGAAAGATGTACTGTATGACCATGCATACTAATGACCACAAACTGATCTCACAGTCTGAAGGTTCTGAAAGGAGTTCACACCATCTTTGTGTTGTAGTTATTTATTTTCTCCATCATGACTCCTTGTGTTCTGTGTTTCTCTGTTATAGTTGCTCCGCCAATTATGTTCAATGCAAACTGGTAATTGCAGTAACAGCAGCAGCTCAGAGCTCATCTCTTAGAATTGATCAGAGAGAGCAGGGAACTGGAGACAGGATTACAGAGGAATTTACTTACATGCAGATTCTTTTCTCAGCAAAATAAAAAATGCATAAAAACTCAGCCATTCTGTTTCCTCTGTCAGCTTCCGGAGCCTAGCAGCTTCTGTGTATTTGAAAACCCCATGATCTCAATAATTGATAAAGGCGCTCTCCAGCTTAAATCGCAGCGGAATTTGTTTTTAATATTCTGATGACAGGGACTAATCGCCTTGCCAGCTGGGAAAGAGTTTAGTTGTGAAAATGTTATAGTTGCAAATCATGTTTGACTTTTACCCTCATTTGAATTGGTGACAGGTAATTGCTTGAGTAAATCTTTAAATCTGTGAAGGAATCACATTCCCTGGGGGATTCGTGTGAAGGTGGAGGTTGCCAGAACGCAGGAAAAGAGGTGCCTGTTAGTGCCATCGGTTTCCTTTTCCGTTTCTTGCCCTACGCCCTGGTTCCACTGAAAAAAGGTTGCTTTTGACAAGTCGATGGCCCCAGACATTGATGTTAGAAGGCAATGTAAAAAACACTTGTGCCCTCAGATGCACTGCACAGCACCAGTACCTGAAGGGGTGAACGTCTTCGATCTGATTAGAGGGCTTCCCACTCAGTACTGTTTTAGTGAAGTCAAGCCTCCAATGGCATCATGGGTCTGACACAGTGACACCTCCTTGAATGAATAACATATATGTAGCGGCTCCTAAGTGAGAATTGAGAGACACAGTAATATATCAATTCTGCCATTCACTCTCCTATATTTAAAAATAATAGGAATAAATAGCACACTTCCTCCCCCAAAACATCTGGAGAGGTGACCCCTTCTCTACTCAGAATTGTGGTACTCACATGAAGTCCTGAAATCCGCCTCCTCGTATTGCAGTCAAAGAGGCTACCAGTAAGAGAGAGTCTAAAGAGTCACAAAAATAGAAATACATTGCTAACCGCCTTGGTCAACAGCTATCAGGGAAAAAAATAAATAGAAAAAATACCCCAAAATGTGATTGATAAAGCATCCATAAGAGTACCATAAGTCCCCATGAAACTTAGTTCTGCTTCACTGCTGTATTCACCACCACTCTTAGTTAGCTCCCTGGCACATGGCTCGCGTGACTTCCTGCATGTGTAGTCTACATGTAGTCAAAAGAGCCTTTCCATTTTGTGATGTCACACTTTTGCGTTATAGTATGTTTTGATTTTTAATTTATTTTCCAAGGCAACTTACAATCACAAGTCCTAAACTATTAATGAGCACACAATTTAGAAGTTAAAGAGCAGTATGACAAGAAGCTTAGAGTTCACTTGAGTCAATGCCTGGGAGGATTTAGAATACTTGGAATTTTGAATGCTAGGTACCTTTGCAGTCCTCTTGGTTTAAAACTAAAAAGAGTCTGTAATCTTCGGAATTCACAGTAATAAATTCCTTTCAAATCAGGATTTAGTCTGATATTCTGTTTGCTGTTCTCTGGACAGATTCTGAAGCAGCAGCACCCTTTCTTAGTACAATGACCAAAATCATACTGTACACAGTATTCTAGATGAAGTCTTAGTACTGAATTGTACAATTCAATGTAACAGTTTTAATTTAAATTCTACTTGTGACCATCCAATAATTCACTTGCCTCCTTCACATTGTCTTTAAGAAAACCAAGTCTTTTTCATAAGACTTAAATAGCTGATTTAAGGTCAGACTTACTGTACAGTGTTTTGTAACCCTAATATTTAGGCAACACCTGTGAACTTGACCACTTTACTAACTATTCCAGAATTTGGAGCACTGATATAAATTAGGAACTGCAACAGTTTTAATACAGATCCCCAGGATAACAAAATCTTCTCAAAGGAGATTTGTAATGCCCTTTTTCAAAAGCTTGGTTTTCTGGCGGCTTCAGGAGGTGTCTTTAAGTCCCCGGCTGTTTATGATAGCAAGGAAAAACCCGTGATCCAGTGCATGAGACCTAGATGTGTTGAGATATTTGAGCAATGAAGTGGAAACAGACTGGCGACTAGAGTGTGACACTGGTGTGTGGTGGCCTTCTGTGTGCTCCGCTGTCACAGAGCAGGCAGCAGGTGCTTTCTGGTGAGGCTCAGTCATCTGTGGCAGACTTGCTGACAGCGCTGTGCAGTCTGAGAGATTGCGTGTGATTATTAGGTTAGTGTTCACAAGCTAGGGTGTAAGGTAATTCACATACTGTAAGGTCTGTAGCTCTCCAAGTTTTGCTATGTTTAGCAGTTTTTAAAATAACCATGCCACTGACGTCACCAAAAAATAGGGTTTTGATGAACTTGTTATTGGATTTTATCATCTTGGTTTCTATTTTTTTCTTATCTGACATAGAACAAGTGGACATATTGGCTGCTGTCTCTTTGCATGCTCCTAAGCAATGATTTTGCAAGCAGTACAACTTTTCCATCATCCCTGTTAAATTTCTGTATCAATGAGTGCAGAGGAAATTACTTTCATGTTCTTTAGAAGCAAAAGCAGATACAGTATGCAACATTTTCTTAAAAATGCCATATCTTGCTTGTATTTTGTATCTGTGCTCATCCCAAATGATAAATTGACTGTTCTCTCTAAAATAAGCAGGCTTATTTTTATTTCTTACAGCAAACATGACGTATACAATGACAAAAGGATTGTGACGCATTTTTTAAACGTTTAGATTTTCTATTTAGACTAACACTTTGCTTGATTTTCCTTCCTTTTGCTGTAATGATTAGAAAATGGCACCCCAGTATCATCAAAGCATCAAATCCCCTGTACTTAAAACCCGGAGCATTAAATCCTGAGCATCAGCACAGGTGTTTGTGTCCAGAAGAAGTACAATTTAGACCTGCTGGAGACATACAGTAACTTTGTCACATTTTTGTGACAAACACAAGTTTTTCTTATTAATTTTAGGATTATTAAAGGGAAAGAAGTAAGCATTTCATTGCTGCAGGCTCTCATTGTTTGTTGCCTGTTACCTTTTAGTCTGGGTGTGTAGGGATGTGTAAAGTTGAAGTAATAGCTTCTTCTCTATCGTTGGCACCTTGCTCATACAGACCGGCAGTGGCATGAGCAGGACTGCTCTGCAGTGGGAGTCACACTTCTCTTTTACCAGAAAGGGAGCCTTTGAAATGGATGCTGGTTTTCACACTGATCTTCCTTCTTTTGCCAACAGATATTTGGTTCTAGAACACGTGTCGGGAGGAGAGCTTTTCGACTACCTGGTAAAAAAGGGCAGGTTAACACCCAAGGAAGCCAGAAAGTTCTTTCGACAGATCATCTCTGCGCTAGACTTCTGCCACAGCCATTCGATATGGTGAGTGCTCCTGCAAGGGCTGAAATCCATGCACAATGTGCTAGTTTTGTCCCTTTTTTCTTATTTCTTTTTCATTAATATCCGTTTTTCCACTGTGCAAATAATCTTTCCTGCTCAGCTGTGTAATTTGTGTAGTATTCAAACTGCTTGTGTATCCTTTAACAGAAGGCTCAATTATAATTACCGCTTTCTTCTCCTTTGCATTCATCCTATACCTGCACTAAGCTGCAGTGACTACTTTGACTGATGGGCACTTCCACTTTTCTTTTATTTGCCACTTTTGATTTTGACCTGTATTAAGCTGTACAGCTGTGTTCTTCATTCACTCAAACGTATTTTTGCAGGCTATGTGCTGTAAGTCAGGCAGGATAGGAGCATCTGCTAAACAAATAAATAACGATGTGCATTAGGCTCTCTGTGATGCACCAGGCCAAGATAAACGTGCGTAAGCATGTGGAAATGAGTGCAGTGAGTGCAATGTATTGCCTCTTTGTCGATTGCGTTTTAATTTAACAGCACAAATCCATACAGCATTATAGGCCTGACAAAGTATATTTAACAGCATTCCAAGGTGCTGTATATGTAAGCAAAACCAATAAAGGAGAAGAATGTCTTTCCCAAGCCCTAGCTCTGTTAGTGAAGCAGCTATGAAAGGGGACAGCCTGTTTATGCCTGCTCTCGTGTGCGCAGAATGCCTAAGCTTGTGCTGACTCAGTACTCGTCTCGCCTGGGGAGTTCCTGCAGCGTGGTGCCTGTCACACACCTGCGCAGCACGCTGGCACTGTGTGAAGAGTGACATCATCTTCCGTGAATGTCACCACCTCCGTGGCTTTCAGGAGACACAGCCACTGGAGCTGCTCTTCAGTGCCACGGGCTTGCAGATCAGGATTCATATTGGAGTACGAAGGTAGTGAGGGGGAGGTCGCAGTTTTGAGATTTCTATCTGGTTTTTCTTTTGAGGTTTTGAAGTTTAGGGTTGTCGTATCTGTTCTGGAAAAGAGGACGGACAAACACAAATACACTCCTTCACGCTGGCCATGGTGATGTGGGTTCAGATATTATAGGCTTCTCTTGTTTCTCCCCCTCCCTCCCAAGGGGATTTGATGAAACTATTCTGTAACCAGCTTCCATCTGCTTCCGCTTAACATATTCACACCCAGGGGAATTCATTTACTGGCTTATCTAGAAAATGTGATGAAGTTTCTCTAAAGTAGTTTTACAATATCTGCCAAGGTTTTAAATAGCTTGGAACTTTGTCAGTAGCTTTTTTCCCCGTAAGCTCCAAACTTTTTTTAAAAACCGTTCCTGTTTAAACCCTTTCAAAGCAGACCCTTTTATTCATTTTAAATTTTAAACACCCTCGCTGTGAACTGGGAGCTCCTGGAGCGGCTCGTTGCCTTTGACAATTGTCAGTGATCAGAAGGACTTGGGAAGCGCGGCAGGGTTATGAAGCGAGCTCTCAGGGTGGCTGGCAGATCGGAGGAGCCCAGGAGCTGCTTCCGAAGTGCGCGGAGGGGAAGAGTGTCTCCCTTGTGAGTCTGGAGCCGCTGACACTGTGCCGGAGAGGACCGATTCACAAGTCAAAGGCAGGCAAACTGACTCAGTCAGCCAAACATTTAAATGGGACTCGGGTGTCGACAACAAATCCATCCATCCGTGCACTATCAGCAGACTGCCTTCCCTGGTAAGGGCAGGGGCTAGCCGAAGCCCCCCGGGGGCCTGAGGATGTACACTAGTCATGAGAGCTCCCTTGGGGGACAGTGGTCTGTTGCTAGGCTAATCATGAAGGCCAATTAAAGCCCAGCCTGTGTGTCTCTGGGAGGTGGGAGGAAGCTGGGGCACTGTGAGAATTGCCACACAAGTGGGAGAAGGGCATGCAGACTCCACACAGACAGGCTTGTAATGCTGGAATTGAACCCAGAACTCTGGAGGTGTGCCGCACCTGCACCGTCTGCCATGTCCAGTCCAGAAATATCTGATTTGTTTTTTTAGAAACGACATCATACAGTATTCCAAAGGACAAAGAAAATGTTGTTTTTATCACAAAGGCTGCTAGAGAGAGAGCCTACAACACGTGTGCTGAATCTGTGTTCTTTGTAAAAAATGCTTTTTTTGTACCTCTTGTGATGTTGTGAATGTAGAGATGGTAAAAGAAATGATTTTCTTTGCATGCTGTGTGCCCCAGCTTATTTTTGGATTCTGAAGTACTGTATCCTTAGAGGATAGCAAATAAATTAAATTAAGTTTCTTTTCTCTTTACCACCACTAAGGCATAAAATGTGTTCCTGTTTTAAGGAAGGGGTGCTTGGAAAAAGAGATTGTTGTCCCCGGGCATTCAGTCAAGGTGAACAAAAAAAACAGAGTGATGATTATCCTCTTGATAAAGCTGATGCATGGGCTGCCCAGTGGAAAATCCCTCATATCGTCCATGTGCACCTTAACTCCAATAAATTAAAGCAGGGCACATACTGGAAAGCCAGACCAATTAAAGATTGAGTGGGCTAAACCCTCCAGCATTTGGTTATAGATATTAACTTGCCAAGAAAAGAGCAGTGTCAAGAAGAGCTGATGCTGAGTTTTGTAAGTTTCTGTAGATTCGTAAGTAGGGCTATATACTGTATTTACTGTAGATTAAACCATTAGGTTGCATTGTCTCGGGCTTCATGTTCACTGTGAACCAGAGTAGTATAGACTGGAGTCCCAGACAAGCTTGTGTCCAGAAGTTGTTTTAGATTTTTTTGCCTTTCTTTTTTTGTTGATACTGCAGACGCATTAGGGCCACTTCAGCTTACATTGAGATGAATTCCCTTTGGCAATTTCATTCTTGGTGTTTTGGTTGGGAATCATGCATCGCTGGGACAATTCGGTCTGGCGGCTGCCGATTTTCCTGAAAGGCTGTAGAAATGTCAGAGGTTGTCAAGCCTCAAGCCTCCACTCAGGGTCAGAGGGGGGACAAGACATGAGTTTGCCTGGTTAATACAGGTACTACATATTATTATTGTGTAAGGAGGAAAAATACTTATTTCCATTGCAGTTAATATCATTAGAAAACTTCAGGGCGTGTTATACTTGTCTGCACCATGGCCATGCTATCCTGCAGACACTACCGCTGTGACTTCAATTGTACAAAGTGAACGAGTATTTTGCTTCACTTTTCTCTTATAGATTTTGCAAAACAATCGCTGCATTTTTTATCTATATGCAGTATTGCGAACAGAGATCGCAGTAATTCCACAATCAAGGCTTGCACTAAATCAGAGGACAGAAGGCCAGGAGACTTTCCTGAGTCAAAGTATTGCGGTGTGAACACACAGGATGTTGAAATTGTAAGTAGATACTGTATGCAATGTGCTTTAGCTGTTACGATGTCAGTTGAATACCCAACACTCCATTAATAACAGTTTAGACAGGCAGATGCCACTTAAATGGACATCTGTTATTCAGATTGCCAGAAGAATCTCTTTGGATTATTAATATTATTACTGGAAACTATACTGTGTATTGAAAATTAAGAAAAAGTTGGGAATTTCTGCTGGCAGCTGTCAACATGACGTGTGTGCCAATCTTTAATGTGCTTAAACGTAGAAGTGCCAAGAAATCCTTTTTAACTACCCCCCCAGCCTCCTTTACCCCGGGGAGCAAGGGCGATCGGAGTGTGGTCAGGAGAGGGGAGCCCCCCTGCAGAGTCGGATCATCCCGAGGCTGTAAGCTTAGTCCCGGAATGGAACATTGTTGTGTCTCAGCACCCATGCCGCCTCAGTGCCTGGGCTTTTCTTTCTCAGCCCTTAAGGTTGCCAATTAGGGGCCGGTCTGCCATTTGTTCCATCTTATCATTGATCTCCCTGCAATGCAGTGATAGGTGCTGCCTTGCTAATTACCCTGTGTTAATTATCTACCTTTCAGAAGTTGGTTAGCATTGTAAATACAAGGTAGAAAGAAACCAGAAGTGTGGATATGGAACACAGATGCCCTTAGTGCTGTGTTTGTGTCCTGAGCCAAAACTTTATGCTTAGCTGTATTAGACCACGTTTCCATATATTGAGTTGCTGCAGTGTATAACATTTCAAAAATGTCTATCTGCAGCAATAAAACATTTATGAATGTGAAGCGTTTAACAGCTGAACTTGAAACCTGCAGTATCCTTGTACTTAATGACTAATGTTTAGTCTTATTTAAGAATCATTACACTTGCATTTGTACAGTGATTTCCATCAAAAAGTCGCAGGTAGGAGGGGGGATCCATTTCATCCACCACCGAAGTGCAGCTCCCACCTGAGTGAAGCACGGCCGTTCTCTACACAGCAGATCCGATAAATAAGTGAGAAATCGCTTCACCCATTGAATTAATTGGGAAATTTTGTAGAGCAGGCAGTGTGTTCCCAAGGTGAAATTTAACCAGGTTTTCAGGGTGAACAACTCTACTCTTCCAAGCAGAGATACAGGATCCTTTAGGATGAAGCAGTCAGGCTGAACACCTCATCTGAAGGATGATGCCTGCACCTCCTGCAGCGCAGCACAGTGCACCTTCTCACCATTATGGGTCCTGGGTTTGGACATTCTAACCCGGAGGGAAGAGTGTCTCCATTTCTAAAGGGTCTAGTGTTACCTTACAAAGAAAGGTTAAGCATAACAAAATATAGTAGTCTTTTATTTCGTTTCTACTCCATACAGAGACCAGAGTGAGGCGGGGGTTTTCTTAGAGCCCAAGAATCTCAGGCATATAGGCAGATTGTAGGGTAATTTCCCAGAAGCCTCAAGAGAAATACAGTCCTCCTTCCAAGCCAATGTCACGCCAAATTGTCAAATGAGACAAAAGAAGCTAAGCTTTTGACTTCCAGCTGCCTTGCAAATGCCACCTAACAGATTATTAACTCCCTCTTTCTTTGAATGCAAATCCGGTGCATGTGTATGTGCGTTAAAAGGGATGGGCTGACAAATGAAAAAGAAAATCTGATTACCTGAAGGCCTTTTGGCAAATGTTATTAGGCTCTGTGGATAAC